ACTGAGCGAATTCCTTTTAACTTTTTCTTTGTGACAACCACGAAATTATTTTATTTGATTATATATATATGTTATGGGATCTTACCCATAATAATAATAATGGACTATTCCATACTTAATAAATACTGCGCCTCCGGAGTAGGCAAGAAGAGAGAGTCAGTAGTTCAAGTCGAGTCAGAGGTAGTCCGAAACAGAGTCGCGTTCAGACAATTACTGCAAGATATTGGACTAGTGATACTGGTCGAGACTACATTGTTCTCTCTACTAAACCTGATTTTCATACTTACACTTCTACTTCTCTGTATATATTCCTGTTTGTAATATATCTGTGGTATTCCATACCTGTGTTCGAGTTCTTCTTTATAGGTTCTACCTTGGACTATTACCGTGGTACAAGGAACCGGACCAAAACAATATATTGAAAATATTCTTAAAGGTACAAAATCTAATTAAAGAAATGAAAGTGTGGAGCTTAATATTACATAACATTTTTAAAACGAAACAACCGGATTTGCTCCCGCTCTTCAGGCCTCTACGGGAGATTTAACTTAAATTAAAATAACAGGAAAATGTGTAATGAGGAGGAGAAGAAAATGAACACAAAGAGGTAGAGACAAATAATAACGAGCCCCAACAAACATTTACGCTGTTTATACAGGGATGGTGTTTCGGGACCCGATATAAAGTGCCTCCAGCACCTTAAGATGAAATAGAGAGTGTGACCGGGACACAACAGGGAAACAGTCAGCAATAAAATTAGCAGCACACCCTCTGTTATTTAAAAGGTGCTCACATATGGCGGAACCATAAGTATTTAGGACAAGTTCATTCAAAGATAAGGTGTGATATATATATATATATATATATATATATATATATATATATCGACGGGTGAGATTTTTTTTATGTATATTTTTCTTCTCAAACAAATGGAAAAAAAAGTGACGTTTCACATACGGCTTGCCTACAAGCAGGATTTTCATAATCATTTTCGATTCTCACCCGTCGAAGTGCAGTTGAAATGCAAAACCAAGTTGCAGGAGTAAAATGGTTTTTCTATATGATAAAATTATAATAAATAATATATATATATATATATATATATATATATATATATATATAAAGTATATAATTGGTATACACGAATGAATTCCAATAACCAACAATTACGTTCTTAAAAGAGTGCTCAATACAAAGTTGATATAATTATTTTTAAAAAAATTTATAACACTATGTTAAAAAATCACTACAAAATAGCCATTTTGTTTCACACTGTGTCTTATCAAGGATGGTGTTGAAAAAGAAAATAAATGGTTTTAAAAAGTTTCAAAATTAACGATCCTACACTAGGTTTTGTCTAGAATAACCAATCAAAAAACGAAGTAAAAGATTCAAAAGCTTGAAACAAAAAAAGCTATTTAGATAAATATATAAAAATATATATATAATTATAAATATATATAAAATATATAAAAACTGGCAATTTTAAAAATCCAAATTTAAATTAAAAAACTACAAAATTATTGAGAAAAGAAAAAATATACAATTTTTCTTCATTGAAATTACATGGTCATCTGATAATATGTATATATTTTTTTTTCTTTTTATTTTTAAAGTTTGTGATAAACTTATATATAAAATACATACGCATCTAGACATAAAAGATCACACACACACACACACACACACAACACACACAAACACACACAAATATACACACACACACTAAAAAAAAAAAAAGGAAGAGGTGGGGAATATATGAACAACTCACAGCCCTTTCAAAAAAAAAAAAAAAAAAGGAGATGCACACACAGTTAAATCGATACACCTACATTTAGACAACCGATATACATTTTCATAGACATTGAAAATCACAACCAGTAAATTTTAGACTTAAATAAATGCTAACCACTTATTGAATTATAACTTAAAGAGCAAATATATAAAGAAAAAAATGTTTTAATAATATTATTTAATATATTAAAAGAAAACTTTATAAATATAAAAAATATATATATATCCCCGCTTATATATTTGGCAAAGAAAACAGGATAAAGAAAAATTAAATATATATATATATATACACGGCAGCAAAAACAAATTATAAAAAAAAAAAAAAATTATATTCATATATACATATACGTACAGAAATTTATAAAACATAAACCCCCTATGATAACAAGTAATATGTATTCCACATACTTAGATCAATCAAATATTTTCGTAAATAATTACATAATAGGTCACAACACACAACCTATATATATACATACACAAACATACATAAATATATATACACACATACATCATATCTACAAATAAACTATATATATACATAAAATATATCTACCTTTCATGCATACATAAAAATACAACTTTCAACCAAATACATATATAAACGAACTATAGACTTATACCTTCAAACACCAACAAAGCAATGTACATATAGTCTAACATAAAATATATAAACACATTCATACAAAAAGAAATATACAAATTCACATACACAATAAAAAAGATACAGATATAATAACTATTATATATGCACAAATATATATATACACACATACATCACACATACACATACATATATATATACAAATATATCGTGCACAAAGCTGAAATCAAGGGGCATCCAGTGACGAACTCAGTCTCATCTAGTGCACCATCTACCTTATACTGACAATACATACCTGTACATACCTCAATTAGACACACACACACATACATATATATATGCATTATAAATATATATATATATATATCCAACCTACGGACACTATTCGTATATATACATATATATATATACAAACATATATATATATATATATCTACATACATACATACACATACACACATACAACACAAAAACATATATAAATAATGGAATTATTAACCTTTTCTCTCATAATAACCTTCCCAAATAAAATAAAGAAAACACACACTCACATATATAAAACATACCCACACATAACTACATGTAAAAAAAAAAAAAAATAAATCTTTATACACCAACCTTTCCTCAGTGCAAAAATCCTAACCAACACATATAAATATATATATTTTACAACAAAACACTATTTACTTATATAACCATTAAAAAAAATATTTCGTCATATCATTATCATTTAAAGTATACGAAAATGGCTAAATGTATTTACTGTCAGTTCATATCTTTGAAAGAGATCTTGGAAAAATAATTTCAAATTTTCATTAAGGCATAGGTATTCGGAGTTACATGTACGAGCTTTAACCAAACCCATAATTGACTCAGATTCCAAAATTACTTGGAAAAAGAATCCTATATTCACTCTTCATCTCCTTGAATAAAACCATTTATTTTATTTTCAACACCATCACTTGATAAGGATGGCTATTTTTGTGTGATTTTATAACATACTTATGTTATAAATTTTTTTATAAAAAATAATTATATATATATATATATATATATATATATATATATATATATATATATATATATGCACATTTCATTTGAATTAATTTTTTTTATACAATTTCTCATGGAATCTAATAATTTTTTCTTTCAGATGATAAATTATATACTGCCCGAATGTTTTTTTAATCTGAGCGCTTTCTATACATTTAGCCATTTTCAAGATGAAATTTTAACTGAAATAAACTTTATAATTTAAAAAATAATAATTCCCCGAAACAAAATTAAATAGGGCAAATATTGTCTACCAATTTAAATGAAGGAATTGTATTCCTGATCAATCAAAAAATGTGACAATTTGACACACAGACTAAAGACTTAGTCAGGACAAAGTGTCACGAAACATTCTAAGGAAAGAATGCATGAAGACACGAGAATGAAAAGCTCAATTAGATCTCATTTAAATATTCCTGAGACCTACCGGATAGAAATTCGTAATATATGCGACTAATAGCATCATCTACATGCAAAAAAAGCTAAAAATAATGGAAGTTTTAATGAAAACAAAAGAAAACACTTAAAATATTAATCATGAACATGGATTTTTGAAAATGAAAATATAAATAGAGTTTTTTATTAACAGCTAAAATATTTCGTCCTGAAATGGGAATGTATAGGATTGGAAAAAAAAGAATTCGGACAAAATGGGAAAAGGAAAGAATGTGATCTCCTAAGGATGGGAAATCGTACGAAAAAACAAAGCCAAAGACGCAATGATTACTGAGAAAATGAAAGACTATGGAATGTGAGAAATGAGACAATGTAAAAGACTGATAGAATGCGAGAGAATGAAAGAGAGACTGTGATAGAAAATGAGTATGCGAGAGAATGAGAGAAAATGATAGAATTTGAGAATGTGAGAGTGTGAAAATGGGAGAATGTGAGAAAACGAAAGAATGATAGAATGTGGGTAAATGAGAAAGTGTGAGAAAAAGAGAGAATGTGAGAGAATGACAGAATGAGAAAATGGGAGAAAACGAGAGAATAAGAAAATGTGAGAAAAATGAGAGTGTCAGAAAAAGAGAGAATGTGAGACGATGATAGAAAAAAGAATTTGAGAATGTGAGAGAATGAGAAAATAAGAGAAAGTGAGAGAATGAGAATGTGAGAAAAGTGAGAGAATGAGAAAATAAGAGAAAAGAGAATGAGAAAGTGAGAGAAAATGAGAATGAGAAAGAGAAAGTGAGAGAGAATGAAAAAATGAGAGAGAATGAGAAAATGAGAAAATGAGAGAAAGTGAGAGAATGAGAAAAAGAGAGAAAATGAGAGAATGAGAAAATGAGAGAAAGTGAGAGAATGAGAAAATGAGAGAGAATGAGAGAAAATGAGAGAAAGTGAGAGAATGAGAGAAAGTGAGAGAATGAGAAAATGAGAGAGAAGAAAATGAGAGAGAATGAGAAAAATGAGAGAATGAGAAAATAAGAGAAAAATGAGAGAAAGAGAGAATGAGAAAAGAGAGAAATGAGAGAATGAGAAAAGAGAGATGAGAAAATGAGAGAAAGTGATGAATGAGAATGAGAAAATGAGAGAAAATAAGAGAATGTTAGAGAATGAGAAAATGAGAGAAAATGAGAGAAAATGAGAGAATGTTAGAGAATGAGAAAATGAGAGAAAATGAGAGAAAATGAGAGAATGAGAGAAAGTGATAGGATGAGAAAATGAGAGAGAATGAGAAATGAGAAAAATAAGAGAATGTTAGAGAATGAGAGAAAATGTGAGAGAATGAGAAAATGAGAGAATGTGAGAAAAAGAGAGAATGAGAGAAAGTGAGAAAATGAAAAGATGTGAGAAAACGAGAGAAAATGAGAAAATTTAAGAGTGTGAGAAAAGAGAGAATGTGAGAGGATGATAGAAAAATGAATTTGAGAATATGAGAGAATGAAAGAATGGGAATGTGAGAATATGAGAGAATGAAAGAATGGGAATGTGAGAATATAAGAGAATGAAAGAATGGGAATGTGAGAATATGAGAGAATGAAAGAATGGGAATGTGAGAATATGAGAGAATGAAAGAATGGGAATGTGAGAATAAATGAAAGAAAGAATGGGAATGTGAGAATGAGAGAATGAAAGAATGGGAATGTGAGAATATAAGAGAATGAAAAGAATGGGAATGTGAGAATATGAGAATGAAAGAAATGAGAAGAGATGAAAGAATGGGAATGTGGAGAATATAAAAGAGAATGAAAAGAATGGGAATGTGAGAATATGAGAGAAATGAAAGAATGGGAATAATATGAGAGAATGAAAGAATGGGAATGTGAGAATATGAGACAAATAAAAACATTATTAAGGAGAGAGAAAAATAAAGAACAGGAATTAAGACGGACGATAACACTTGACATTGCGTTTAAATATTTGAAGATCAAATTTGACTGAGAATTAAGAAGCCGCAAGAGTTTTACGAAAGAGAGAAGTGCGAGAGAAGAAACTATTAGCATAGAACTTACGGTTACATTCAGCCATTTCTATTGTAAAGTGATGAAACCTTGCCACTACTCTAGTAGTACACTTAAATTCATAAAGTCTTAGTACCAAAAAGTATTGCTCAGCTGAACAATTACCACGAAAGTATTGATAGAAATGGCACAAGAAAGCTATATTTATAGTGGTGAGAAAATGATTGCAGCCGCGATGCCAAGTCAGGACCAATAACATTGCAGATTCTTCTTTGGTGAGATGTAAATTCCACTGGAACAGCTTCCTCCCACGAAGTGTTGCTTTGTTGAACCGTCTCCCAAGACGATGCTTCCCCGATCACTACAATCTTAACCTGTTCAAGTATAGGTTTAGCCGTTATTTTCCTCACAAACTGTGTCTATTACTCTGTACCTTCTACCTCGAGTGGCTCTTGGGCCTTATACATGGGGAAACACTATTGTAAAAGAAATATATTTAATGAATTAGAATGAATTCTTGAAAAGGGGCGTGGCATGGCTTCCAATTGACAGTAGTCCTTCCTCTAAGACAGGTTGCGACTCAAGGCTGTTCACAGAAACCTTTCCGATATTTAACCAATAGCTAAAGAAGAGCATTAGATATGGATCAGTGCTTTTAAAAGGGGTAGTAGTGCAAAAGTGAAGGCAACATACTAGTCCGTAATTTGAACCCGGTTCGCCTATTCCGATTTCAGCGCCGACGACAGTTACGGTAGTTGCACATCCATCATTTAAAATTCATAAACATTTTTTGTTAATATCGTCTTGGAATTCTGCTTGTCCCTCCCTTTGTTTACGCGTGCGTAGGTTACGGCCTGCCACCCCCCCTTCATAAATAATGGACTGTTCCATTTTGATTGCGTGGAAAGACGGAAAAGACATATCAGAGAGGCTACTTGGTTTCAGAAAAAGAAAGAAACACTGCGCCAATATCTCATAAATAATGGACTGTTCCGTTTTGATCTCGAGGAAAAATGGAAAATATATATCAGGGACAATGTTTGATTTCATTGAAAGAGAGAGAAAGAGAAACAGAGAGAGAGAGAGAGAAACAGAAAGAAAGAGAGAGAGAAAAAACAGAGATAAACAGAAAGAAAGAGAGAGAGAGAAACAAAGAAAGAGAGAGAGAAACAAAGAGAGAGAAAAAAAAACAAAGAAAGAGAGAAAAACAAAAAAGAGAGAGAAACAAAGAAAGAAAGAGAGAAACAGAAAGAAAGAGAGAGAGGGGGAAGCAGAAAGAAAGAGAGAGAGGGAAACAGAAAGAAAGAGAGAGAGGGAAACAGAAAGAAAGAGAGAGAAACAGAAAGAAAGAGAGAGAGAAACAGAAAGAAAGAGAGAAACAAAGAGAGAGAGAAAAAACAGAAATAAAGAGAGAGAGAAACAGAAAGAAAGAGAGAGAGAGAAAAGAAAGAAAGAGAGAGGGAGAAAAGAAAGAAAGAGAGAGAGAGAGGAAACAGAAAGAAAGAGAGGGAGAAACAGAAACAAAGAGAGAGAGAGAGAGAGAAACAGAAAGAAAAAGACAGATAAAGAAAAAGTCAAAACCAGAAAGAACGAGAAAAAGAAAGAGGAAAAGACAAAAAGAAAGAGAAAAAGAAACACTTTGCTAATATCCCATAAATAATGGACTATTCCTTTTTGATCTCGAGGAAAAATAGAAAGGACCTATCAGAGATGATGTTTGATTTCATTGAAAGAGAGAGAGAGAAATAGAAAGAGAGAGAAACAGAAGGAAAGAGAGAAAAACAGAAAGAACGAGAAAAAGAAAGAAAAAAGAAAAGAGAAAAAGAAAGAAAGAGAAAAAAAAGAAAAGAAAAATAAATACCGAGAAAGAAATAGAAAGAACAAGAAAGAAAAAGAAAAAAAGGAAGAAAAAGAAAGAAACTGAAAGGGGGAAAGAAAACGGAAGTAATCAAAATTCTGACAGGAAAGCTGGGAAATTTTTACAGATACTACTACTTGTTTAAATCATTATCGAACAGGAAGCATCAATTTGTCTATTTGTTCTTTGGGTCCAATGCCAAAGAATCTTCTCCGTTGCACTTCAATGTAAATTACCAATCACTGATGCTTGAGGTACCTGTGTCGAACATGAAGAATTAGTGCTGGTTCCACAACACACGAGAGGCGACAACATGCACTCGTTTCATTTCGGACAGCCGACGGGGTGCCGCCGAATGCGTGTCGACTATTTCCACCGTCATAAACACACACCAATCGCAGCCGTCCTTCTTTGCGACAACGCCTCCCACCCAAATACTGGTCAATTTTCATTACTAATCGCACGTCCCCTGTATGCCACCTTCAAGCTGAGTGGGCTATTAGAGACATAGTATTTATTTATCTCAATCATATGAATCGAACTAGTTATGTGTGTGCACGTAAACGTCTTTTAAACTTTGCAAAATACAACATACTAAACGTCTTTATTATTCTATTGCAGTTTTTCCAACCATGACAAACGCAAGAGCTTGGAGTCGTTCAATGGAGGTGATGATTAAAGACGATGGTTAGTAATTATTAGAAATATATTTATCTTATCACAGGTATTTATGCACAGAGCACATATGACCTACGCTAAAACAATGGACAGAATCTCTTTCCGACGGTCCAGTTTGTTTGTCTTGTGCCAAAGTCAGTTGAACCTAATAAAAATTATTTGGTGCATGCATAGAGCAATATGATAATCTCTAAAATGATCACTGGGTTCTCAAAATTCCTAATCTTGTGTCAGACTAAAATTATCAGATTAAACAAAGTGATTGAAAATAACTCCATATTTTATGTACGAGTGGCAAACCGGGAGTCCAGACTTAACACGCTGTGACTTTTTTTTTCTTTGGGGTTGGTTAAAGGAGCAAGTCTAGTATTGCAAACCAAGACATGAAGAGCGAATACAAGACGTTACGTCTCCCATACTACAAGAGTGCCTGGGGAAATCAGGTGACACGATTCCTGGGCAGCTCGAGAAGATGGTAGCGAAATTTGGTGGCCATATTGAATTTTAAATAAAACCTCATGCTAAACGAATTCCTCTCATATCCATCTCTTGTAAAAATTATAGTTAATAAATTCTAAGTATTTTAAAATTAGGAGTTACTTTTCAATCACCCTGTATACGATAACCTGAACCAGAACTACATTCCACTTGTCTGTATATTTAGACACTGACCGTAATATCTTTCGATATGTATTGCAAGCAACTTAAAACACACACTGTTAAGTACTATAAATTGTATCAATACAACTTAGCGTACATTTACATTTAGTGTAAATTTACACTTAGTGTATCAACAGTTGGACGCGATGTGTGTTGTAGCATTTATAGAATATTGGATTTGTGTTACTATGTTATATTAATTTCTGTGCTAATATGCCAAATATATTCACTGATGCCCATATCGAGTTTTAAATAAAACCTCATGTTAAACGCTTTCCTTTCATATCCATTTCTTGTCAAAATTATAGTTTATAAAAAAATTCTAAGTATTTTAAAATGAGGAGTTACTTTTTGATCACCCTGTAGTTTAAATAAAAGTTTTGCCTAAAACTATGCTCATTGTAATTCATAGAAAGTGCTCCAATTTTGTCGTCTTGTACCAAACTATAATGAGTTTCGTAGAAAATGGTTTTAGGTCAAGCAACTAACAAAATTGTAGTAGTGATATCTACTGTAGTCCAATTTACTATGATAAAACATGTACACATTGAATCATTTAGTTGTTTTTGTTTAGTAGCATATCAACTTCTAAGGGTTATTTAATGCCAAAATCGAACTATTTTGTAAGTAATTTTATTTTATTTGAGATAATAACGATTTAGTGAAATATGTCGTACTATTTAACCCATACCTGCGACGGGTATTTGCTCGTAAAGTTAATATAACGAACCCAACAGGAATTGGAACTCGGCTCTCCGATAAACAATTCCAAGCCATTATCCATTACACCACCCGCACATCCAAACTTACAGTACCTGGTATTCCCAAGCGTCCAACCAAGTAGGTACTGGCCACACCCGACGTTGATAACTTTGGTGATCGTACGGGAAACGGTGTTTGAACGTGAAGTAAAGTTGGTTCTCTGTGTCGTACCAGAAATTTTTTCTACCTCCAGTCCATCCTTCAAATCTATAAATCAACCATTCGCCCTTGCATGGAATATTGCTTCCATATATGGTCTGGAGCCTCCGCTGATAGTCTTCAGTTCCTCGACAAAATCCAGAGACGGATGTGCAATGTGATCAGCCCTGATCTTGCATCTCGTTTACAGTCGTACTCTCAGAGACGTGCCGTCTCTTCCCTCTGTCTTTTCTACAAATACTTTCACGGTAACTGCTCCGATGAACTGCTTTCGCTGGTACCCAAACAAAACCTAAACACGGTTGCATCTACAATTAAAAACCTGAACACGGTTTTATCTAGAGTTTAAAAAAAAAAACTGGACACGAGACACTGTTTAATCTAGACTAAAAAATAAATGGACATAATTTAACTTAACGACAAAAATCTGGACGCTAGACGGAATTAAACTAGTGTCAAAAACCTAGAAAGCAGGGTCCAGTTTAATCTAAATCCAAAAACCTAGACATAGGCTTGGTTTAATCTCCAGCCAAATGATAGATATAAATTATGCTTAAACTAAAGAAAAAAAGGCTAGACATTGTTCGGGTTTGCAATTACCTACAGGAGGCGTAACCAGCTTATTCTAAATCCTACCGACAAGGTTGTATTATTATATGAATATTAATAAATTAAGAAAAAACTAACTTGAATTTTTATCCTATTTTTCATTTCTCCATAGCTTTGTCAGATAAGTATGTGTGTGTGTATAAAACTTGAACAAATACTCAATGACCGCACAAAATTTTAAAAAAATAACAGGAATCCAACCAGCCAAGTAAAATTAAAAATCAACAAACTTATTACTGCTAATAATGCCGAACAGAGCAGTTTAAAATTTCCTAAAATTGTGGGTGATTATGGGCCAGGTTACATATATGGCGCTATAAAAACACACAGAGTGAATGTCCAAATTAGTATAAAATAGCAATTATAAAAAAAAAAATAATGAACCTGGTCAAAGTTAATTCATCCACAAAACAGATATTCTACAGAGGAGTAAAAAATATAAAACAAACTCTTATTAAAAAATAACTTCCTTAATTGTATTGTTGATGAACAAATAAGATGTTCTGTCAGAAATTTTAATACTAAGCAAATAGAATATTTTACTTCTTCAACTCAACCCAAACATATCAATCTTTTATATCGCAACCAAATACATTCTAATTATAAACAAGACGAAAATATCCTAAAAAAATACTGCTATCTCCACCACATATCCTAGTAAAAAAATAAAATTAATTAAATACTACACTAAATCTAGTATATCTAATACAATCATTCGTAATGACTCTTCCCCACCTACTAACGTGTTGCAGAAAACCAAAATTGTTTATAAATTTGAATGTCCTCTGGGAGATTTTATCTCCAACAGCAAAAATAATATTTATGTTGGGCACACTACGACAACATTGTCTCGGCGGATGAGTTTCCATTTGAATGATATGTTCAACATTTCCAAACATTTCTAACATACCTGTCCACATTCGCAATTCAGAAAATTTCTTGTTGAAAATACATCTATACTTTTTTATGAATGCAATAAACATAAACAACAATTCTCGAAGCTATCTATAGAAAAAATTGAAACCAAACCTTAATTTTGAATACTGCACAAATGTTTTAAAATGTGTACAATAGTTTAAGATATCAAAGTTTTCACTAATAGTTTTAATACCTATTTCTTAAAAACTATCGACAAACCATACATAATTACATTCCTTAAAGCGTTGTCTAGTGATTATGCACTGACTCGGCATTCTTCACTTCACAAGTAAAAAAAAATAATAACTTTCAGATGAACACAGCAATTTCGTCTTTGAAAATGATGAACACTACAAAATTTCTCTCTAAATGAACAACACCCTGATGATGACATTGTGCTATGTCGAAAGTACTCCGAATAAAATAGTATATATCAACACGGAGATTTTCTCTCTTCCTTTAATAATGACACGAAAAAGCTTGTCCGGGAATATGAAAGGATCCAATTGAAAAAAAGCAGAAAACTTGTCAAAATTATTCAATGAGACACACACACACATTATATATATATATATATATATATATATATATATATATATATATATATACTTAAAAATTGAACAACAAACAACAGCTCTTTCAAAACATTTGGGGAATTAAAGGACAAAAATTGTAATCTACAAATAGTCTGAAAAATTTTAAAATCCGCACAAACACCGAACAGTTTTAGAGGTAAGTGTAATTTATGCTTAGAAGAAAAAAAATAAAATAAATTAATGAAAGCCAACTGTTGAATCAGAGGAATGAATTATTTTTTAAATACTGACATAAAACCAGATTCAAATCTCCATAATATATTTTGCCTTATTTGACTGCCCAAAATAACTCCCATCTCTTCTATTCCTTTTCTTTATGCTATATTAATTTTAATTTTTAAAATTCCCTCTTCGAATTTTCCTCTAGTTTTCTTTTCTTTAATCCCTTTACGTCCTTATATTTTTTACTTTTATTTTTCCTTATTTTTAATTCCCTTAATTAGGTTCTACATGGTTAATATTCTCTGACATTGTTATTTAATACACATTCTCCCCTTTAAGATAGATTTTTATCACCTTCCCTGAACCCTGAACCCTGACTTTTGTCTATTATCTGACTTATACATTGAAAAGTGTAAACTCTGATTTAAGTATTTTTGGCATGTTATATTTTAGATCTCCATTAATACTTCCTGTACAGTTAATTTTTACTTCCTGCATCTTCAAATTCTATTCTACGGACGATAATTCCACTTTTATTGTCTGCCGAAATAGTTTATTCCTATGAGGTAAAAAAATTTCTTGATTGTGTAAGATATATATATATATATGTATAATCACTTTTATTGTCTATATAAATAGTTATTCCCCTACATGAGGTAAAAAAATATATATTGATGTATATATATATATATATATATATATAAATATATATGTATATGTATATATATATATATATATATATAAAATATATATATATATATATATATATATATATATAAATATATATGTATGTATATATATATATATATATATATATATAAATATATATATATACATATATATATATATATATATATATATATATATAAATATGTATGTATATATATATATATATATATATATATATA